TCAAGTTCTCATAAGTGTCCCTGGGAAGAGCACCAAGCAAATTTATTTCTTCAGGTTTCTGGCAGAGGGCTAAGGCAGCTTAATTATTTCACCAAAAGAACCCTACATGTTGGATCCAAGCCTTTTGGCCACCATTAAATAGGTGAGTTACACAGACTAACTTCTGCTTCATCCCTGCTTTCTCTGTTTCACTTCTCTCATTTTCATTATACCTGGTCTGCTGGTGCTCTGGTGCTACTGGTGGTCCCCACCTACAACTTATCCCCAATGTTCCTCACAAGCCTCCTCGCTCACCTTTTGTCCAGCAGCTGTCAGCACGGCTGCCACCTGCAGTGACAGCGATCACTGCTGTGCACATCTCCAAGGGCAGAACATGATGGGCTGGGTGAAGGCTGCTGACATCACAGAGTGTTGCATCATTGCCCATAATGAGCTGCTCCTAGTTTCCCTGGATGACTCACTCCAGCCTTGGTCATGAACACACACACACACACACACACACACCCCTCTTGCATGGGTTAGTTCAGATGGAAATGCAAGCCCAAAGAAGGCAAGGCTTGCTGGGAATGGGAACGTGAGCATCTCTTACATTTGCCTGGCCTGGACTGGTTTGGGATGACTCAAGTGCCCTTGCTTCCATTTCTCTTTGTTAAATGGGACAGGTACACCAACAGACACAGCTACCCTGATTCCAATGTGTTCTGCTTTGATTAGAGAAATGTTAGATTTGGAACAGCTCTCCTGATGCCATGAGTAATTACTATTCCTTGTAGATCAAAAATCAAGGACGCTGGAGCCCCTATGCAGGACATTAGACTTGCAGAAATGTCACTGATACAGCAGATCCCAGTTTTCAAGTAATTAGATTTTTTTCTTTTTGAAGTTACTATAACTATGCCCTTCTCCCTGTAATGTGTCTCCTGGTCAGGAGCGCAGAAAGACTCTGGAAATTCCAGGCAACCTTCAAAAAACGAAATCACCAGCAAGATAATACTTAACTGCTGACCTGTCTTTCACACCTTGCTTCACAGTAAAGCTGGAATAGCTGAACTAGAGCTGGTTGTTAGAGAATGAAAGCTCTATTTATTGAGAAAGGTGTATATTACTGTCCCTGTTTCACCAGCTGGGAGCTGATGAAATTTCCCCAAAATGTGTACAGTGAAATGGGATGGGGTATGGGAATCTTGGGGTGGGGGCAGCAGTCTTCTTCACCACCCCTCTGGAGTACAGGCCCCTCATCCTGCCCCTTTTTGGGATCCCTGGCAGCCTATGCCCCTAGGCAGCTGCTTGTTTGCCTAAGGTGCTCTACTAATACTTACTATAGCCATTCCTGGAGGCAGCTGGCTAAGTAGAGAGCACAAAAAGTGATGTGTGTTTTTTTTTGGGAGGGGGGGGGTATTTTCTCTGTCTGTGTGTTTGCAGAACCCTTCTGCAGGTGACAGGGTCAGAAATCCCCAGCTATGTAAACCTGTGGCAGGCAAGGGACACACATGGCAACATCTTCCGGTTGGTCCCTGGGGAACCCTCAGGCTCCTCCACCATAAAAGGTACAAAATACCCTCTTTAGCTCCTAGACCCTCAATCTCTTGGGCTTCTTGCTTCTTCATTTCTTCTGTGCCTGTCATTAGCAATAAGCACTAATGTACTAACAGGCTTCTTTTGTATTTTAATGGAAAAAATACCATTTCAGGAAAATGCTGTCAGGTTCTGCATTATTTGTTACAATAATAAATGTTTCCTATATTCAGGTTGAATAGCCACAATGGGACACACCTGTGTCTCTCTTCCCAGCTTTGATCTGTGCTAATTGAGTGAGTGATGCCACCACTGAAAGACAATGGAAAAGAAAGAAATGAAGATGGATGAATTCTAATGCAGTTCTCCAGTGACATGCGGATAGTGTTGTTTCACGTTTTCTTTAATTCCTGGAAGTCAAATGTTCTAATTCTGAGTCTTCCCATTTGACAGGAAAATTGCATTTTTGTTCATGCTTCAGCCTCTTTTACCTATATCCACTTCTATGGGGAAGATCAAAGCTGAAGCAGAGGGAGTTAAAACAGTGAATAGCCTTATAAACTGATACTGCAGCTGTTTCTTAAGTAGCAATGGATCTTAATGAGAGGCTGCTCATACAATTATTATCACAGTAGCAAGTAAAGGTCCCAACTGATATTGGGCCCCTATTGTGCCAGGCACTGTATGAACACATTATGAGAGAATAACTCCTCTGCAAGGAATATGAAATATCATTAGATAAGAAAGAAAGAAACTGTGCCATGAATACGGGTCCCCATGGAGTTAAGGAAAAAAAAAATGCCTTGGCCACATGGAAAGCACATGATAGAGCCAGGAATAAAACCCAGGGTTGCCGCCACACAGGCGAACTGACTGTTCTAGAGAAGAAAGTCATTCCTGTCTAGGAGCTCATGGTCAGCTTATTCTCACTGCTTGAGGCCAAGATTTGTGACTTTTTTCCAAACATAAATTCCAATCCTGCACGGGCAAAGTCCTGGGGCTGACTGACGGCACATCAATGCCATGCTCCAGGATGCCTTCTTCTAAGCTAATGTCAAATGTGCTTTGGACTTGAAGTTGGAAGGGGCTGAAATCCCAAGGTACTACTTTTCTTGGAGTCTGTTGGCAGCATTGACAATTAGGCGATTGATGCATTAACATGCCAGAGAGGCTCTGATGTTTATTCATGTGCTGCTCTTGAGGGTTTATTGAATTGATGCCTGGTAAAGAAACTAATGGGAGCCCTTGGCAGGGTACCTTAGATGGATTTCCTTATTATCTCTCTGGATTTTATACTCTCTAGCAAAATCAATATTAAAGCTGCCGCACAATGCAGCCTCTTTTAGCTTCAGGGTTTAAAGATTTATTGGGCATCAGGGAAAGACAATGAAGGCAAAAGACAATGACAAAAGAGGTAAAATCCTAGTAACTACAGAACTACGGTGAACAAAAACAATTTCTAGCTAAAATACTGCAATTTCTCCACCAACTTTTTTTTTTGTAATGAGTCATGCAATGTCACAAGGTCAGTTTTCCTCAGATTTCAAATTTGCAAACTGCCTACTGCTGAGCAATGCAGCTACCCAAGATATGGCTGCTGCCTTGTGAGCCCGCAAGCTAATTTGTATGGTTCTAGCTAAAGTGGAGCAATGATGATACAGGATACTCAGTCAATCAATCAGATACATTTTTTTTTCATTAATTCTGTGGAGTTATCACTAAGATTCTCAGCATATTTGCTTATGACTGCCCTAAAGAGAAATAAATGTTAGAGTTTAAAAGGATGGTAACGCTGCAAGTGGAAGGAAAAGTGGGTATACAGCCAAATTCTTAAGCTTACCAGTGCTATCCCAAACTTCCTTGGTCACAAAATTGGCACTTGTTCTCTTTTCTCTCCTGTCTTCAATAGCAGTATTATTGGCTCAGTCCAGCTAGTCTTGTGACATACTTAAAGGAACTGTGAAGTGATATAATCACTTGTGCTCTAGGAATAGTCAAAAGGGTTTTTGCTTTGTCATTGCTTAGCACATTTTTTTTGCTACAAGATTCCAGCTTAACTGCTAAAACAATATGTGCTGCTTTAAAAGTATCTTATCTAGCCATAAATGCAAACCAGTTCAAAATAACAATATACTTATGGAAGTCTAAGCGCTGCATATGGAGAAACCATATCTTCTGCATAATTTGCATGAGATTATTTTATAATTAAAGTGAAGTGAGGAATTGGACTGCACAAACCAATCACCTAAAGACTATTTAAACAGGAAAGTCTTCTTAGTAGGAGTGAAATTCACTCCTGACTAAGAATACAAACAGTAGAATTCCAATGGTGCCACTGGTCTCACTTGGTCTTTTTAATCAAGAGTAACTGCCATCTGCCAATACAGTCATCTGTATACATGGACATATACAGGCACACAGTGGTTTGTAACATCACGTACATACAGAGCTTTTATCTAGCCTGCTGCAGTGACTGTTAAATATATATATATTTTTTTTTTTTCAATGGGAGGAATCACAACCTTTGTGCAGATGAGGTAAGGAGCTGTCTTAAAAGTTCTTTCTTCCAGGTCTTCAGCACTGGCATCATTCTATATCCCTCACCATCGTCTTTATCTGTCCTCCTCTATAAACTGAAGTAGGACATCTGCAAGTGCACCTTCAGTCACTCTGTAGTGATGCTTTTATTTGCTCATAAGCCAGTGGAGAGAGAAAATACTAAGCCAAATTTATTGTTGGTTCTACCCAAAAGTTACATAGGGGATGTTTTAGTCCTGTTTCTATTCTGCCTAGAGATAGCGTTAGGATTAATCCCAGCAGCTTCAAGGGAGTCAGCCGCAAATCTTGACGTATAAACTCTTAAACACTTAATAGTGTCGAAGTGGTGTACAAATCCCATGAGGACTCTCGAGGAAGGGGTAAATTTCACCCAGTAAAATTCATGGCCCAGTAGGGTGTTGAGGATCATGTCGGTTCCTGTTTTTCCCTTTTCCTCCCACTCATTTTATTACCCTGAACATCTGTAGAAACATTGAGGTGCAGGGAGCCTCAGGGCTGCTCTGTGTGTTTGACTCTATTTTCTCCTTGCCGTGTGCAAATGCTACTTCTATTTGCACCTTCACACAGCTGTGACTTGCAGCAACAAAGCCTAAATGACACCTAAGAAGATCCCTCCAGAGCATTAAACAAACAAGCCGGTAGGACATCTCGCAATCTGGAAAGTGCTAAGTTAAAAACAGTGGTACACAGTGCACTGCTTTGAAAATGGACTAGTTGAATTTCTTTGCTGTAATCCAAATCAGAGAAGTATTTTCTTGGCTCCTTTTCTGCATGAATCCAGGCTTCGCGCACTCCCGAGAAAACTGAGCCAGGATTCACGTTCAAGGTTTATAACGTAGAAAATTTTGCACTTATAGTTTCATTTTCTTTTTTTCATTAGATTCACATGAAGAAAATGGGAGAATGAAGAGGACAACAAGACTATCCACAGTCATAGTTTACTGTTTAACTAAACGTGGTGTGTGTTTTAACATTTCATACACTGTCAGTGAGCTTCTGATTTGGTACTCACAGTAGATACAGGCATCATAAAATTAGTCAGAGGCAGATTAGGTGTCAGTAGTCAGCTAAAAGCTGAAGTATCTAGAACTATACAAGACAGTTTGGGCTTGACAATTAACATCGGTTGAAGATCTGTGTTAAAATAAGTGGCTGTAAGGTTAATACCTTCTAGAGATATTTCCTAGGCTGAGTGCAAGTTCATAAGTTTCTTCACAAAAATAAGCCCCCTCCCCTTTTCTTTTAAATGACTTTGTGTAGAATCATTGTGATGGCCAAGAGGAATTTTGTAATCTCGCGTTAGCAAAATACATAGTCCTTCTCTTTGGAACATCTTTTAAAAATGCCTGCTTTTCCAGACAGTCATCTCACTGCAAATGATATTGTTGTGATCAGAACATTATCGAATGCAATGTTTTGTTCATTTGTTTCTGTAATATACCGGGTATTGCAGGAAAAAGCCACAGCTACTAAAAACAAAATCCATCAGTCTGTCTTCCATCAGTCTCTCCCTTCTGCTGAGTCATTACCTAAAGAATTTCAGAATGATTTCTTCAACTGCAAAAGAAAGAGGAAAAAAGTATAATTTATTTTTTCTGTTGAGAGAATGACCAAGATTAGTCTTGGAAAAAAAAAAAGTGTGCAGAAGATCACAAAACAAGAACTGAAAGATTTTAATTCCTTGTTCCTAACTAGAAATTGTTCTCATTCTTTGAAACGTGCACTAAGGAACCTGATTCTGCTTGGTAGTATCAATGCTAATACCAACATAAATCAGGAAAATGGAATGAGAGTACATTAAAGAGCGTTTCCTCCAGTGGTGTTTTCCTGAAGTTCATGCAGAATTTAACCCTAACTGTTCACTTAAGAGAATGATCAGTCATTTAAAGGGTGGGCCACAGTCTTAGATGGAAGAGACCATTAAAATATGGTCTTTCAGACAAATTTTATATACAGAACAGAAGGCTTTTTTTTTTTAATGGTTACATTTTTGGATCAGATCAATCAGAAAAGCTGACTTTAAATTTCTTCAGAAAAACAACAAACCTTCCATTTCATTGCCTTTACTGCCCTTGTAGAATCAGCTAATTGGCTTTGCAAATTGAAGCCATAAATTACTAATTTCACATTGTGAGAGAAGGTGAATACACCAATTACTCGAATAGTTGTGTTCAAAGTTCAAGCAAGCCATGCAGATACCATCCATGTATTTATATGCCTTTCTCCCTGGAGCACCATTGCCACCAACTTGCTGAGATATATCAAAGCAGGTCCAGTCGCAATCTCTGCCTGCTTTTTCTATGCAGATTGAAAGCTCCCTGGTACACAGTTTCTATCCCTTAGGATGAACATTGTTCATTGCCTAGCAGGAAAGGCTCCTGATCTTGGCTGTAGCAGTGAGATACATAATAGTATAATTGCATTGCAGGTCAGTGATCTCTTCCACTTCAAACCTTGGGAGTGAGAATAAAACAGCCTCTTACATTGTGTATAAAGACCTTAAAGTCCATTTTTTGCTGGGGAGGCCCTTTTATTTCCTTTTTACTGGTGGAGAGCTCCTGTGGGTCAGACTCAGCTGAATTGGGCTCAAGTGTTGTCCTAGTAGGAAACTGCATTAGGGGTGTTCCTGGCTGTAAAGCAGGGTAAGAGTCTGTTGCTGTTGTGGCTCTGCTAGGAGCTCTTTGGAGTAACATTGCTGAGCGCCCACTTCTAGGATGCAGAGTGTCAGCAGCATCTGGAAACGCTTGTTTATTCTGGGCATTTCTTCCTTCCTTCCAATCAGAGAGTCCGAGCTCTGAAAACAGATGGGATTGTTCTACTAGTAATTGGTCCAGCTGCTGCAGAGAAAATAGAAGGAAAAGCATATTGCAGTAATAAAAATATAATAAAAGGAATCAAGCAGGATACACAAGAGTATATGAAGCATGCCTGCTTATTATTCTTGGTCCAAAGAAGACATGCAATATTTGGCAAATGAGATGCTACCATAAAAAGGAGGAGAAAAGCTTAAAGAACATTTTGTTCCAACAGATTGGTATAACTGCCTACAGAGAAATCTGCAAATGGACTTCTGTCAGCGGTCGTTGCAGTCTTCACCCTCATTCACTAGTGTATGACCAGCACTTTGAATCATGCAGATACTGTGATGTGAAATGGATTCTTCCTGGAGGAGATTCCCATTGAACAATGGAGGCGATACTGTGGTATAGCCAAGCTCCTTGAGGACTCTTGCACTTTGCTGCTCTTTCTCTGCTGCTCTAAGTCAAGCTTCTCAGGGGAAAATCTCTTGTTGATCATTTTCTTACCTTTCTTTAACAAGTGGAGAGCTGGTGCAGAAAAGAGCCACACCAGTAACCACTTACCAATAATAATGTGGGCCAACTGCCTGCCATTTTATTCTGGAAGCCAAGTGACCTTTTTAGAGCAACGGAGTTTACGGTTACTTTTGAAAATATTGTCACTTTTCCTCAGTGGGTAAGCCCAAGCAACATAGCAAAGGAGAAAGAGGGTCACAGATATAAACTGTAAATCTGTTGACAGGAAACTGCCTTTTTTTGACATTAAAAGGTTTATTCATATATATTTCAGCTTTAAAACTTCAAGTCCTTAATAGCAGGGCAGACTTTAAACTCTTCCCTCATGACCCCAGAGAAGTGGCTTCTGCAACTTACCGTGAGAATGCCCTCTCTGACCTGGCAGGCTCGATCATTCAGCTGGAATTCCAGCTCTGCAACCTCCTGACGAATAGCTCTCCTTAAGAGTTGCAGGTGTCTCCTTTCCTCTCTGTAGGGACAGCAGCAAAAGCACACTTATGTGAGCAGCAAACACCCTCCTCTTCCTCAGCCCCAGTGTAATGCCCGTTTTACCCATGATCACAGAACAGCTCACAAAATAATGAATAATGGCCTCTGCATATTCAACTCCCAGTCCTTTGATTGCAAGATTTAGCATGTTGTAGTTGCAGAACCAACTTGAGTCTGGGTGGATTTATTAGTTCTGATTTATTTCCTGCACAAAGACTGCATAATTGTCCTACTTTAAGGCCAATTCAAGACTGGAAGCTCTCTAGTACTTTTATACATATGAAGTTTCTTAATAATCACTGTGAACTTGGGCCGAGTCCATGAAGAGCTAGTTCAAATTATACTGCATCATTGCCCCATTAATCATGAGCACTAAGAACATGGTTTAAAGGGACCAATTTGGCACAAATTCTGATCAAAGGTCAGCCTGCTTCTCTCCCCCAATCTTGTATTCATCTGTGATACCGAGCTCCAGCCATATGAGACCTATTCCCGCACTCCTACTGCTATTAAAACACAACAATTTCATACTAAAAATCTAGCCTACCTCTGTGGAGCAATCTTCCCCTTCAAAATGCTAGGAGCCCTGAACAGTGTAGAGAGAAGCTGTACTTTCTTCAGGGTGAAAATCACACCAAAATAAATTTCTCTTCCACTTGCAGGATGCCCACAACTGCACCTTACTGACCAAGAACATTGTGCTAACACAAGTGGCTAGACACATCGCATGTACTCATGGGTTGTTGCTGTTGCTAACTTCAGATTTAGGTAAGTGTGTTGTGCTGTCATTACCTTCCTTCATCTGGCATAGCACTAGAAAATAGAGTCTGCTGTTCAGTCAGGTGCTGCTCAATCTCATCCAGCTTCTCCCGGAACTGCTGGCAGGAGCTCTTCATCACTTCTCTTTCATGGATGGTACACTATATAGAAAAGCAGGAAGAGATCCCACTTTACTACTTCCCTTTGAGCACTTCCATGTTTGGGTATGTTTGAAGCTGATAGCCCAAATGGCATGAGTCCTTTTCTTAACTACACAGCTGGGACTCTATGAGCAGCTGCTGCGAAAGTCCAGATGGCACTTCCTGAGTGTTTGTTCTGGATGCATTACCTGCACCCTCGTCATCACCTTTTTTCTTAAATCACTTTGGATGAAGTCCTGGTCCCACTGAAGTCAGGGAGAATTTCATTTTTAGCACTGAAGAGGAAAAGGACTTTGATCGAATACCTGACACAATGGACCAAATTCTGGTACTATCATACTGACGTCAGTCACTATATTTGAGCAGAATGAGTTGTTCTTGATTAATGATAGGTTAAATAAATATCCACTAGAAGTTAGAAACCCTTTTGGAAAAGAAGAAGAAGAGGATGTATAAGTACTATAAGAAGAAAAGGTACTTTCCACGCTGGGTTCAGCTAAGTACTACACTGATACATTTTCAGCTGATACCACTTGGAAAGCTGGATTTGGATTTATCTAACCAAGTGCAGAAATTTACCACAACAGATGTACATTCAAGTACTGCAAGGAAGCAATTTTTCTCATCCAGGAGTAGACATCTACAGCACAAGTAGATATTTGGGATGTTCTTATGTTGGAAGGCTTTGGTCTCATAAGCCATGGGAAGACAGTGTAGAAACCTGCACTCCACTGCTGACTACTGTAACTCACAGGCAACAAGAACTACATGTGAAAAGCCTGAAAATGCCTGATCTCTTTGGATGCCTGGAATCACGTGCTTTGATGTTTTCATCATGTTTGTGTGCATGAATTTGCCTCTCAATCCCACCAAAGCCTGAAACGTGAGGAAGCCGTCCCTACTGCGGCAACAGCTTCTACTAGAGGGCACTAGACTAGACTAGATGCCCTCATGGCTTTTGAGAAACCCTATTCTCAATCCCCACTTCAATGCAGCTACTATGTCAGGCACCCTGCTGATCCGTGTGACTCAGATATAAACGGTCCCTTAACGGTAAATGAAAAATCTAGCCCCAACAGCCATGGGATAGCACCAAAAATGGCTAATCAGAGACCGGTAGTTGTTTTTGACTGGGGTGATTTCCAGATAGGGGAGACAGCATGCTTTTAAAAAGACTTGTACTGGTCCCGCTAGTAATATGCTCCATCACAGGGTCACAGGGCCGGTCCTGTGACTGCGGAGGTGACTGTGCTCAGTCTCTACTCTACACGGATCACAGCTGGCTTTCTTAACACTGATGGTCAGCAATCACAGATCCCATTGATGCAGTTAGATTTGTTATGTGCACCTTTAAGCCAAGTGGTGACTGACTGCTTATCCCCCCCACACACTTCCCCCCAACACCCAGCACACCACAGTCTTTAGTTTTGATCCTCAGAAAGTTTGGCTACTCATAGGTGGGAGTGCTTGGGGTGCTAGTGGGCAGCACATCCACATGGGATTTATGATTTCTTCTTGCCACTGCCAAATCTGAGCAGAAAGAGGACTTCTGGCCATCAAGAGAGTGTGCCTATGTTAGCTTGAAGAGCTCCTGTCCTTTTGGTCACTAAGAAGAAGTAAATGGGCCACAGACCAATTTCTAGGTGGTTCCAAAATGCTTAGAGAAAACTGGAAAACATCATGGTGTTATGGAAAAGATCGAAGAGGCACAAGGGGAGTAGGTTTGATAAAATGTCATGCTCACCCTTGTGGATGAGGTAAGGGCAGCTGCTCTGGTACATATTGCAGAGCACATAGTCACAGATTTATTTAAAGATTAGGTTAAGCAGGGGCAGAGGGGAAACTAAATGTTCTAGGACTACTTTCAGACAAGACCTCACCTAAGGTAAGATATATGTAAATAAGGTAAATCTACTGTTTAACAATTGCTCCGCAGTGGTAGCACTCATGCATGCTCTTGATAAATGGGAAGTAATTTGAGAGAGCTTCTCTCAGTATAAGAAGTATGTATAAGCAAATTACAAAGCAGGCATGGGAATAATCTCTGTAGAGTGACTAATAATCAGTAAATTCACGGCCTCACCTACCGCACAGTAGCTTGGATGTGGAGTTGTATCTTAAAGAACAGATCTTAGATAACATTACAGTGTGAAGCCTACTCCTCCCACACTCCCTGTCCACATACTATACAGAAGCCCCTGTCACAGGAGTGATAAAATAAGAGTCAATAAAGGAGAAAAGGCTTCCCAGTCTGCCATAAGGTACTGACTCACTGCCATCTTGTGGCGACAGCAAGTTATCTAGCAAAGTGCCTGTCTTGCCATATACTGTTCCAGGAAAAAACATGGCAGATTTCTCTATTCGATGATGTGGCAGCACAAAACTCACCAGTTTCACTTCCTGGAACCTGTATGTAATCATTTTCTTCCCCAATATCTAAACATTTCAAGTTTCATTTTCTTATGAAGAGCAAAGGGAAGAGGAAAAATTGAAACTCCTGTAAATCAGCAGGATATATGCAGCTCAAATCCACATTTTTCTCAGGATACAAAAGCCATTCCTGACTCCTTTCCCTGCTCTCTTGCCCCCAAACCCTATTCTTTGAAAGCTTTTGGGAACTCTCAACAATGCTGACATGGCAATGAAATAAACATCTGATGACTTTTTAATATCTGTGCTTTTATTGCAAATATGCATCTAAGCACAACTTTAAAGAAAGCTTCTTATTCTACTGTGATAAGATTGCTTTGTATTCTAATAAGTCACAATTCACTGAATTTAGAGCAGTTTTGGGTTGTGGAATGTATCTGGATGTGCACAGTTAGTCTTTGACAGACATGACGTAATTTAACCTCAATTACCTCATAGTAAAACAGGATTGCATTAAATCATATAGCCTTGCATTTTCTGCAGTCCCATAAGTTATTTAGTTAATGTAACTCAGCTGATTCACAGGAACTTTTTGAACTTGATTCTGTAAACTGACTCTTAGGTCTTCATTTGACCAAGGAACTTTATTGCCAAATTCACATTAACCGTTTTAAGACTGTACTGAACTGATGTATATATGTTATTAAAAAAAACAGCCTAACAAAACTGAACGTACGCAGATATGTTTGCCGTCTTTGTCCAGAAGGGAATGCCTATTTCCCAGTTCATTTTTTCAGTAATAGTCCCAAGATATTCCTCACTAAAGCAACAAGCGCAACAGGAGTGGAAAGGGAAAGGCAGCATGTGCATTCAGTGCATGTGTGTGCCAGCTTTCCATGTACCATTATGAAAAAATATACTTACCGAGGAGAGATTTCTCACTGCGGTTTCCTGTTGGAGCTGCAGCATTTTCCAAAGCTGCAGCTCAGTGGCGGCATGGTTTGAACAGCAGCTCATGGGGTGCTGGGGAGAAATGGCTACAGTGAAGGTCCTTGGGCAGCAGCAGTGGCAGCAGCAGCAGTGACAGCCCTGGGCACCCCAGGTGCCAGATGCTTCACCCCAGTATCGTGACCTGTATTTGCCACAAAGCACAGTGTCGAGAGAGGCTGATTTCAGGAGGTAGTGATGGGGTGGAGGAAGCAAGGGTAGATGCCTGCTGTTCCTAGCAGGGATGTCAGTCTGAATGGAGGCTTCGGTGGTCTGCTTTAGGCCATCCTTTGAAGCTCGGCAGCCCCACCGGCTGAGCTGACTACCCTCACAGCAGTGCGCTAAAGCCTCGGAGAAGTCTACAGGCTCATCCCTAGCAGAGCTATCACTGAGAGGAGCATTTTGCCCTGCACACTTCATTTTTGAAGTAAAATTCAGCCTTGAAGACATCTGGATGGTAACAGGTTTCAGAGGACTAGCATTCTTCTCACTGTTTTGGACACTGCTTTCCTTTACTGATTTTTTAGCACCTAATATCTCCCCTATACTGCAAGTCTCTCTCTCTTTAAAAGAACTTAAGCCAGACCCTTCTGCTAGGCAGGAGAGAGGGCTCTGAGGGGTTTGAGGAGAACTGCTTGAAATAGCACTGTGTTCACTATGCACTGCTGGGCCCTGCCACAGAGTTTCTGGGAGCCCTGTTTCAAAAGAGCAACTTGTATTTCTTGAATCATCATCCATTTTGCAGAACTTCTGCCTCTTTGACACCTGATTCACTGCAAGAAGGACACCTTCTTTACCAACCACTTCCATTCTCCACCACCCTCCTCTTACATATGCTCTACGACCTCCCGGGACATTTTCATGGCGTGCAACTCCAACACCCTTTTCAGTCAGGCACCTCTCACTTTCTTCTTCAACTCTGATTTTTCTCTCACCAGCAGTTTCAGGGTTTGTGTCACTCCATTCAGTGACGGTTGCATTCGCATTTTTATGTCCTGAACTGAAATATAATTGAATATCAAATTTTGCGGATATAGGATCTCCTTTATCCTGGTTAGCACTCTGAAAACAAGGAGTATGCTCTTTTATGCACTCCTCTTTTTCTGGTTGCTTTCTTCCAGTTTTCTCTTCTTTCTTGTCCATGTCACCTAACATTTCTTGGACAAAACTTTGTGGCCCAGCGTTACAGGCCTGATGCTGGCAATCTTCTGCAGTTAGTAGAAGACAAGTCTCTTCTCCCTGGTCACTGCACACTCTCATTGTTCTAGACACTGTCAAAATCTTCTTGCAATCTGTCATGAAGGCCTTAGCAACAGAATCTTCTGACTTTTGTTGAAAATCCTGATTTATCATAGGAAACTCTGTCCTATATGAGAGAGCTGTTGGGTGGTTGTGGATATCAGAGCTAAGATTTATCTTTCCTGACAGAGATGCATTCTGAAAAAAAAAAAAAAGAAAGAAAGAAAAAAAAAGAAAAAAAGAGGCACTGAAATATTACACTTGTTCTGTCACACTAATTTTCCCACCATGATTATGCCCTGACCATACTTGGGCATGGAGGCATTTTTAAATACATCTTACAAATATCTATGAATACCAAAGGAAGCAAATAATCAAAAATTCTTGTAATATTTCTTACTTAATGCCTGCAATCTTGCAAAATCCTACATTACAGTGATGGAAGGGTTGCACAAAGTTCTGAGAAAATTTCTTGCCTTCTGTGGTTGTCTAGGAAGATGAACTTGCTTTCATGAAGCTTTCATGAATCAATAATTTTTTATGATACTTTTCCAGGGTTACAGAGTTTCCATAGACCTACTGAAGACCCTTGTCCAGCTCTTACTTGCAAAACTAAAGGTTCTGGCAGCTCCTCCATAAACCCACTGCTGTCTGACTGGCAGCTGTTTGTTCTTGTCACCATCACCTCTGCTGGGAAAAATAAAAGGATGAGAAAAATTAGAGAGAAACATAGGAAGCCAAAACAAACGGACACCTAAGCAGGTGCACTTTAAGTGTACTTTCCATTTCTAGAAAAATTTTTAATCCTGCCACTGTTCCCCAGAAACCAGCAATTTTGCTACAACCAGAACAAATCACAAAATGTGCTCAGGGTAGTTACTGATAGTGATGCTGGGCACTGAGTTATCCTCCAGTATGATCAACAACTGCATATTTCATTTTTTGACATATCTGCACAACATGCACAACATAAATAACCTCTAAAGCAGCCAATTATGGTGTTAAAAATGTTGACTTTTGACAGCTGATTGTTGGAACTGGCTCAGACCAAATCTCATTCACGCTGCTCACCTACGCAATTCCAATGGCTTCAGCCAGGTGAATCCTGCAGGGAAGGGGAGCAGCCCTAGTCTCTGCCCAAGATCAATTTGTCTCTGAGCTGAGACACCTTGTATTATCTTTGCTGATTTTTCACCTGAGAGTGCAATAGGAAATCGCAGTAATCAGCAGAGATGATACAGGGTTGCCTGTCAAGACAAAAAGGCAAGGGGAAGACATTGCACATTTACTCCAGAGAAGGTTTCCAATCTAGCAACCACATCACCTTCCCTTCTAGCTCAGTCACCTCTTACCCCAGCCTTTGGAACTAAAACAAATTCCTCACCATCAGCTATCTAACTCCATGAATGTAAGCCAACCCTCTGTAAAAGCACAAGTGCTTGAGAGTAAAACATCAGTTAACCTGCACACCCGAGTAGCTCTCAGCCCTTGAAAAACTTGCCTTTTCAGATAACCTTCATCTTCATATAATGCCCTTCATTCTCAGATAAATGGAACAAAACCAGGTAGAGTTGTGGGGAGCAGAAAGAGGGAGGCTTTTGGTGGAAAGGAAGGAAAGGAACAGAGACTGAGATATGCTACGTACGCTTCCTCTCTTGTTACTTACATACAAAACTGCTATTGAATCCTAAGGCTTTTTCTCTGCTGGTTATACCCATGAAAATAGGACAATTCACCAAGCAGTTCTGAGGCCTGAATTATTACTGCTTACTCATGGGATTAGGAAATACAAAAAAAGTCTATTCACATTAACAGACTATAGACGTTATTAAATCTACCTTGTACGACAATTAATGAAAATCACACCATTTCTCATCTATTTACAGGCAGAAATTGTAAAACCAAAACCAGATCTCATGATATGTATTTGAAACGTATTTTTTGCATTGTCAATTCTGGTATTGCCGTCAGCGCCTCAGTCACTCACTTTCCTCTTTCAAATGAGAAATGCGTTGTTCCCATCTCACACATCACATCATTGTAGTGAGGTTGCTGAAAAATGCTTGTTTTGTGGGTGGTCTCAAAACTCATCCTTGCAGTTTCCCACAAACGACATCACGGTTCATTTTCTCCCCCAGGGAGACTGCTCTACAGATTCTCTAAACTTTTTTTAAAGCTGTTTCAATTACCCTTTGCATCTTAGCCAGCTGTTGCTTCCAGTATGTCAGTCTGGCCTATAGTCTTTCATACATAAAAATGAAGAAACAGTTAAAGGCTTAGAAAAACTTTGAGAAGTAGAAATGTTTCAGTTATTGTAGTTCCAACCACTTCTGGACTCAAAATAATATGCTATAAGAGAAAGGCCCTCCATTTTAGGATACAATAATTATAACAATTAACCTTTAAGTTTTGAAGACTGTTATCTGTTTACTGGGGTTTTAACGTGCCTGGTTTTCTCCTGAGACATGCAGGATACCAAAGTAGCTGGGATGCTTCTGGAAATTATATGTAGGAAAAAAAAACAACCTTAACTTTTAATGGAAAATTAGTGCTGTTACTGTTAGAATTCACCTTCTGACCTGGTCAAAACCAGACAATTGCAACCAGGTCTGACCCATTTATTACAATAAATGTGGTTCATCTGTTCCAACAACACAGTCAACTGTGTTTGTGCATTGCAACTGTGCAGCCTTTCCATCAATGTTTATATTCATGCACTAGCTAGAGAACTAGCCAAAATATGCGAGGCAATAGACTCTGGGCTGTTCATCAGGCACAATGAGGAACATTAAAGACTGAATGAATTGTCTGCAGGCCAAGCTAATATCATTACAATCAGGTGACAGAAAGACATCCGTGTGTCTCCCTAGACTTCTCCTGGAAGTAAATGTGACGTGTGCCTGGCTATCGTAACTCTCACCAATTAACTGTGCAAGGTATGTACGTAAATTATGCCTCAAGCCACTGTGAAAGCTAGCTGCATGTTTATTTAAACAACAGTGATATGAAATGACCGTTCTGAGTATGAATCCAGTTTTAATGTAATCAAAATAGAAGAATCTTCTGTAAAAAAGAAGATATGTTTAGTAGAAGGAGAACTATGTTAAGCGCAGTTTAATCAAATCACTGATGGTGAAATCAGCTTCATCTAAGTTAGGCATCTAAATTGCATGGACCTACATACCGGGTGTCTAATAAACTAGTCCTCCTAGAATAAAGGCTAAATTCCCCATATGGTCAGTGCAAAGCAATGTCTCTGAGGGCCCATGTTATGGATCTTTTCCAACTACATTCAGATGCCTAATTTAATCGTTAGATCCCACACTGATGTGCCAGATCCTACCCAATGTGCCAAGCCCTGTAGAAGTTACACACATAAGGATAAATGGTTCTTAAAAGATGAGATTTTCTCCCTTGCATTCCTCTGATTCTGAAACACTCACTTCATTTAAAGTCAGTCAAAATTCCCGTGATTTCAGTGGAAGTTCGAATAAAAAAGAAAAAGACTTAGTAAGATGAATATGGCCCTCCAACACAAGGTGAGGTAAAATCCTATGAAGAGATTATCAGAATGCTCCCAGAAGGACTTCCGGTTAAACAACAAATGCCTGGGAGAAATGGGAAGAAGTGCTATGCTGAAAAGGCAGATCATGGTGCAGTCTGTGGCCGTGCCTAAGTGAGATTAAAAATGATATTCTTTTCAAACTGAGGCAGTTCAATTTCAACCTACGCAGATAGAGTTTGGTTCCATGTCTGTATACCAGAGTCAAGCAAAATCTGCACATTAGAGTGCAGCCTTTGTGCACTGGCAAATCTGTGCTTTAGGTGAAGAGTACATCTATCTATCACCTCATGTCCACTTAGTGTCCCAAAGAGAATGTAAGCAAGACCTAAAATTAGACCATACCTGATGCCTTCCTGATGAGGAATAGAGTTTCTTCCTCTGTGAATTTTTCAATAATATTACTTGTTTGCCAGTGGTAACAGTATAGTTTGTCTTGGCACCTGTAATACCTAGTGAGGGTAACCATAGCTTGAGTCTCTATTAGGAGATCAACTCTTTGGGGGGTCCAAAGCAGGCCTCTGCTACATCTCCTGGGACAAATTCCTCTAACTAACAGGTTTCTGAAAATACTAGATGCTGGTGGCAGTTTAACACAATATGGATTAGCATCTACAGCACTCCAGGCAGTTGCTGAGGTCACCTGCATCCCTGTGGGTAGGGACACAACTTCATAGCAGCAACTACTCATTTTTAGATGCACTAAAACCTGTTAGAAACTGGAAGACTGGCTTTGGGTGGAATACAAGTTGGCCAAAAAGGTTGGGGGGGGGGGTGGAAGGGAAATAAAATTTACATAATTAATTTTAACATTTTTTAAATGCTCCTGCCTTTCACTTTCAAATGTGCTTTCTTTCTGAAAGCAACTGCATTTTTTTCTGTTTGAAGGAGAAAGGTGCAAAAATGGGTTAAATCACCTGAACTTTAAGTAAAAATGTTTTAATTTCTAGTCTACCCAAACTGCATTTTTCCCCTATCATTTGGTTCAGCCACTGAACCAAAATATCCATTATTCATATAGCTCTACTCCATTCTCCTAGTGTGTGGAGACATGTGAACCTGTAGAGATTCTGCAAATACATGCAGAGCATCGCACAAAGGGAAGATAAAGTATGTTTGGAGAAGAAGTAGAGACGCAGACCGATATTCAACTATGAGCTAAAAATTACAACTCTGGGCCCTGTGCGGAGAGTACATCTGGCTATGCTGGAAAGAGGAAACCTGAGAATTGTCCCTGAAGACCTTGGTGAGGAAAACCTTGGCTCTTTGCCTTTCTGTACTAATTGAACTGGGATAGTTAGCTGCTGCACCTCGTTCTGTTCTGTTTGAATTTTAAATAAAAATAGGTTAGAGGCACTTATTAATCAGGTTTCTCTTCCATTTCGTATCATATGAGAAAGCATATGTGACCTAACGACTGCAAAGTTCTATATTTGTCCTATATTTGATCAGTCCAATTTCGTTCTTTTCTTCTCCACTTATTTGCATGCAGATATAGTGGCCTCCACTTTCAGCAGCTTTCAGTGCAGGAACTTTCAGAAACTATTGGGCTCCTAGGTTTACCGCTAAAAAAGGGATATTCTCTAATTAGCAAAACATAAGTGCTGGATGCAGTTCCAGGCTCCTCTGAAGACTCTGCAGCTGGTTTTCTGTTGACTTGGCTGCAAATAGCACAACCTCTTTATAGTTTCTAGCCTGGAGAATACTTGCAATCCACAAAAGATGCCTTGAGGACGACTACATTGCTTGTAAATAATACCACATTTCTGCATGTCTTTTGAATTACATTAATATTGCTGAATTTCATTCAGTGCTTGTTTTCTACATCTTTTGAGTATGGGGAAGCTTGGGCAAACAAATTTCAAAGGCAAGAACATTTGTGGAAATCTAAATTTTAAATTCACAAATTTAAATTTGGGCTGCTCATCCTATCATAGGGGAACTAGAACAGCCAATTGCAACCTAGCAATGCTGTTCACATTTTAAATGTTCTTGTAGCTATTTAATCGTGTGCTGACATTAAAGTAGATAAGTATTTTGTTTTACTAAAAAAACTCATGGGGTGAGGGAAGGTCCTACAGTGTTTCCCCCAGAGAAAACTGCGCTAATTTACTGACTGTTGACTATG